TTACATTTTATATCTCTAATGAAATAGGTTGAGGAGGGGAGAACTGTTTGTTTCAAGTTGGTCATTCAGAATTATATCTGTGTTTTTTAATTTGTTGATTTCCATAGATTCTAACAAAGATAGCTTAAGGCCTTTATTTTGAATGTGAAGAATTTTAAATTCGTCATTAAAAGAATGGTAATGATCTAGAAGAAGATAACAAGCTAGTGGTTCTGAACACATTTTATAAACTACCACCGAGGAGATTGTATACATGGAAGTCACCAGCAGATAAACCCCATAACGTAATTAGAAACCAGATAGATTATATATTGGTAAATAGAAGATTCAGAAACAGTTTTAAATCTGTCAAAACATATCCAGGAGCGGACATTGAATCTGACCACATACCTTTAGTGGGAGTCATGGATGTGAGACTGAAGACAGTAAAGAAAAAGTCTAGACCTAACTACGACATGACAGCCCTGAAACATCCGGAAGTTTAAAAGCAAGTGGGGGAATATATTAACAACCAAGTTAAACAACTAAAAGAAGAAAATAACATCCAACGAGAAATCAATCAATTCGAAGAAATAATTAAGAAAACTAAACAAGATCTGCTAAAACCAAACAAAGAAACAAAGAAGAAATCTTGGATGACTCCAGAAATCCTTCATTTAATGGAACGCAGAAGGTTAATTAAAGGAAATAAAGATGAGTATAAAAAAATGCAGGCTTACATCAGAAGAAAAATAAGAGAAGCTAAAGAAAAAGAAGCTGTAGAGAAATGTAAAGAAATAGAAAGACTACAAGCCAAGCATGACAATTTTAATGTACACAAAAAGGTAAAAGAAATAACGGGTACTTTTAAAAAGCGAACACAAATGAAACTCATAGACACCAATGGAAAATTAATCATTGACACCCAAGAGATGAAAGACAGATGGAGAATATATTTGGAGACACTTTTTCAAGACCAAAGAACGGATTATAGGCATCCATTTTCAGAGAGGATGACGGGCCCGGACATACTTAAATCCGAGGTAGAAGAAGCAATAAAACGGATGAAAAGCAGGAAAGCTGTAGGGCCTGACAATATCGAAGCTGAATTTTTAAAACTCTTGGAGGAAGAAGGAATAATTTGGATCACGGCTGTCTTCAATAAAATTTACAATACAGGAATCATCCCTGATAAATGGCTAAAATCAGAATTCATAGCGATACCTAAAAAACAGGGGGCTAAAAAGTGCGAAGAATATCGAACAATCAGCCTAATGAGCCACATGTTGAAACTGTTTCTTAGAGTCATCCATGGAAGAATTTATAAGAAGTGCGAGGAACAAATATCGGACAGACAGTTCGGCTTCATTAACGCAGTGGGTACCAGAGAGGCACTTTTTGGAGTATAGGTACTGATTCAAAGATGCAGGGACGTTAACTGCGACGTATACGCGTGCTTGATCGACTACGAAAAGGCATTTGACAGAGTTCAACATCAAAAGATGATAAACATTTTAAAAGAGGCAGATCTGGATGACAAAGACCTCAGAATAATTTCAGAACTCTACTGGAATCAGACCGCATATATGAAAATTAACGGAGAAGAAACAGATCACATAAAAATACTACGTGGAGTTAGACAGGGATGTATCCTATCGCCGTTGATATTTAATATGTACTCAGAGAAAATTTTTAACGAGGCTCTTTACGGAATATACGACGGCACCCTTCTAAATGGTGAAAGAGTAAACAATGTTAGATATGCCGACGACACCATGGTGATAGCAGATAGTTTAGAGGGACTTCAGAGGCTAATGGACAGAATAAACGAGTACAGTCAACAGTACGGACTAAACATTAATACCCACAAAACGAAACAAATGATTATCAGCAAGAAGAATATAAATGGGGCTCATATATACATTAATGGGACGCAGATAGAGCGAGTAAAACAGTATTGTTACCTGGGAACTATTATTAATGAACAGTGGAGCAATTTACAGGAAATAAAGTGCCGCATAGGAAAGGCAAGAATGGTCTTTAACAAAATGAGCGCCATCTTCAAAAGTCACAACATATCCCTTGATACAAAAATGAGACATTTGAGATGCTATGTTTTCTCTGTGTTGTTGTACGGGGTGGAGGCATGGACGCTTACAGACGTTACTATTAAAAAACTTGAAGCATTTGAGATGTGGCTTTATAGAAGAATGCTGAGAATATCATGGACAGCAAGGATCACGAACAAGGAAGTTCTAGGAAAAATGAAGAAGGAACCAGAGATTGTGTTTACGATCAAACGCATAAAATTGCAATATCTGGGACACGTTATGAGAAATCAGCACCGTTACTCCCTGCTACAGTCTATATTGCAAGGTAAAGTCAAAGGTAAGCGAGGACCCGGTAGAAGGAGAATATCATGGCTGCGGAATTTAAGAACATGGTTTAAGAAAACCTCAACGGAGCTGTTTCGAGCCGCAGCGAGCAAGGTTATTATTGCCAATATGATTTCCAACATCCGAAACGCATAGGAACTAGAAGAAGAAGAATGATCTAGAAGATGAAGTGCGTATGTCGAATTTGTTTTTCTATTATTGAAAGCTCCTTTATGTTCTGCTATTCGTTTATTAAACTTTCTACCAGTTTGACCGATGTAAGTTTTTGGGCAGTCGCCACACTTAAGTTTGTACACACCACTGTGTGTTTTATTTTGGCTCTTGTTGTTTTTAATATATTTGCCTAGGTTGTTATTTGTTCGGAAAGCTGGTGTTATTTCTTTCTTTTTTATGTGTTTGGCTATTTTTGTTGATATTTTGCCTGTATATGTAATCGAGCAAAAGATACTGCGTTTTTTCTCTGATGGTGAAAATACTAATTTCAGGGCTTTCTTGTGTAGTTTTTGATTTAATATTTTAACTGAAAAGCTGCAGTATTAATAGTTTAAAATAAATTTTGTGGAAGTTTGAAAACAAAGTTTTCAGTATTTTATTGTTACATTATAGAAGTTTTCAGGGACTTTCGGCTCTCGGTAATAATGTATTCTTTCATTCTGCGTTTAAATTTTTCAAAAATATGTATTATTTTCTCAGGATTCGAAAAAAATGAATGCATCTAAAAAGCATAAGCCCGAAATTTTGCGCCTACGCTCTTAACTGATAAAGTATTTTACATTTGTTTAGAGAAATATACAATTATTACAGCAATAATAGAAAAAAATTACAAATTTTATCGTTTCTAAATTGACGAATTATTGAAGCTGAATATTCAAAAATTTGATGGGTGAAATCAAAGGCGGCAATTCACTTTTTTGTTTGAGTTAGGACAATCTGTTGCATTTTTATATCTGTTAGATAAGTACTTGTCAGAGTTCATGTTTGGATCAAAAGCGTCAATCTCCATAGCTGAGTGCGTACCAAACACGGAAATCTCCGCTGCGGCCAATAAGAACCACGTAGCGCACGTACGTGATCAACACATGGTTAGATTTGCATGTTACATCGTGCTATTATAATTTGTTTTAGTTTTGGGAGTCGCTTCATTGCACAAGACAATGGCAATCGCTGTGACATGTTACACGTTTCCACCTCTATATTCATTTCACAGTAGGTACGAATTGTCGTAATTGTCACATTGACATGAATAATTTCAAACGAAGTTCTGAAAGAATAAACAAATAATTAATAAAATGCCTATTACGTTGTATACCGTCCAAGAAAAGTGCAACTTGTAACATGGTACTTTCAGGGTCATTCGATACGTGACGTAATTGATTTATTTATTGTTGCCTTCGAAAATAGACCCCACCAAGTGTTACATTTGTTAAAAGTACCATTAAATATTTTCAAACTTCGGGATGTGTAAACAGTTGTAAAAAGTGTCATGAAGGTAATGAACCACGTGTTAGACCTGTCGATGAGGAACGTCAAAACAGGGATATTGATATTTGTGCTTTTGTGGAAGCTAGTGAACACTGCAATAGTGTACAAATTGCTAGGGAAGTTAACGTGAATGCTCGAACTGTCAACAGGAATGGGTATCACTGTTTTAAGATACAACCAACACAAGAACTGTTTCCGTAAGATAACTTTAGGCGAATGGAGTTTTGTGAATTTATATTAAACAGAATGAAAATGTACACTTTTAAAAAAATATTTTATTTTCTGGCGAATCTTCATTTTAATTACATAAAAAACACAATTTCATCCGTTGCAAGGCATTATTCTCGGAAAAATAAGCACCTCAGTGTTGCAGTGCGAACGCAGCATCCGCAAAAGTTAAATGTTTGGACTGGGATGTTAGGCGACCATATTGTCGGTCCATTTTTTATCGATGGAAACCTAAACGGTCCCAAATATTTACAACTTTTACAGAATGAGATCATTCCGGCAGTTCGACGCCTTCCCGTTAATTTTCAGGAGGTTTATTTCCAACAGGATGGGCGTTCAGCTCACAACTCTAGAGCTCTAGATTGACTTCCTTAATCAAACGTTTCCTGATCGACTGATAAGTACTCGTGGTACAATTAAATGGCCCGCTAGATCATGTGACTTAGCGCCTAACGATTTCTTTTTTTTTTGGGTTTTCTCAAAGAAAACATTTATAAGCATCAGTTTGAAAGGGCTATAAACCTAGTAGAATTAAGGCAAAAATACTTCATTTCTCTGCAAGCATTACACCAGCCCTACTCCAAAATATGAGAAGAACTCGGTATGACAGATTTGGTTACTTTTTAGCACAAGGAGGTGGAATATTTGAGCCCTTAATTCATTAATCTGCTTTCCTAATTTTTATTTTTTTTAGGTACATTTTACGAAGTTTATACATTCTTAATTAGGTAGTATTTATGTTTAAGTTTGGAAGAATTGTATTGTTTTTTTTTTATTTAAAAGTACAAACGATTCTTATTCTGATTTTTTTCTTCTTTCTTGTCTTATTGTTATAAGCTTTGACTATAAAATTTGTACAATTTTCAGTGACAATAAAGCATATTACTTATTTCCGTTTCATTTTCCTTCTCATTTCAGATGCAACCCAGAAAACGAGTTATCATTTCCGGGATTTGGAAGTGGGTGCGGCGGAAGCACGTCCAGCATGGCCTACCTGAAGTCGGCTCCTTATCCCGTGCCTGGATTGGGACTCCACGGATTACCGGTGGATTCGCTGCACTCGTCTATGGCGGGGTACCCTGGAGGTAAGCGAAAACGTTTGTTTTAATTAAAATGCGACTTTTCTGGAAATGGAAATGCATAAAATGTATAAGTAATCTAAATGGGGACGTTACTTTTTTGATATTCATTAACCTAAAAGCGACTCTTGAGAGTGGGAGTGTCTAAAATAAATTATACAGTCTGCATATTTCGGTGGAAATGTGTAGGCAAAAGTAATCATCGAATAATTATATGATTGTGTTATTATCAGTATTTAGTTCTTGTATTCTTGTATAACGACCATCGAAATCGCGCGAATTTACCCCGTTTCAAGCCTCTTTCTTGTAGGGTTTATGGCATATGGAGATGTAATGGCACCGAGGAATTTTTCAAGCGAATAAAAAATGTGAAGTCAACACAAATTTTCACCGAAACTATTTTTTTTATTTATTTTGCTTCAACCACTTAGGGTTATTCTTCTTATTCTTCAGCCTTAAGTAATCCAACTTTGGATATAGGCCTCCCCCAAATCAATCCAGTGTCTTTGGTGCAGTGAATAGCTTTGGTGAGATAACATCTCCCTGGCGAATTCCTCTGTTGATTGGTATAGCTTTGGTTTTCGTATCAATTTGTATTTTCATTGTAGCTTTCTTGTAAATATTGTGTATGAGCATTCTGTATCGGGAGTCTATCCTGCAGTTGTTCATAGCTCTCTCTATTGCCCAAAGTTCTATGAAGTCCAATGCCTTTTCATAATCAACTAATCCAATATATAAGTTTAAGTGATATTCATTGGCTTTCTCTATTAGAGTTCTGACCGTAAGAAGATGATCCGCTGTACTGTAACCTTTTCGGAATCCTGCCTGACAGCTATCGAGCTTCGAAACAATTTAAATGCTTTAATGGCTTTAATTAACAGATTTGGAAATCAACGAAGAATACAAGAGTGCCCAGAAACTGTCAGCGTGTTACTAAAAAAGCAAGGCTACATATCAAGGAATCCAAAAAAAATCCCTACAATGAAACATCTGCAAAGGCAACGAAGAATAGATTTTTGTCAACGTTTTCGAGAAGATAATTAAAATAATGTCTTAATATTTGATGAAAGTTGTTTCCAGCTTGGTGCAAATCATCTAAAAGTCCTATCAAGAGAAAATGTTAACGTTCAAATTTCCAAATTTCCCACTAAAATAATGGTTAGGGGGGTAATATCTCAGCGTGGTGCTACCCATCTCTATATAGTTAATAGTACTGTTGATAGTGCGAAATATTGTGACATCCTAAATGGGTTTCTTCGTGAAACTACTCATGTTTTATATCCAGAGGGGTGGCGTTTTCAGCATGATAATGCAAGATGCTATACTTCTGCTTTTACTCAAGCTTGGATGCAAGAACAGGATTTGCCAACAATTCCGTGGCCAGCAGCATCTCCAGATCTTAGCCTCATTGAAAACATATGGGGACTGATGAAGATTTAAAGTGGAACGAGCAGCGTCACGAGATAAAGAAGGTTTGATTCGGTCAGTTTTGCAGGCCTGGAACACCATTACCGAAAATTATGGTCTTGACGTAGTTTCGGGTGTACCTGGACGTTAAGTTAGGTGTTTAGATTTAAATGGAGGTTGTATAAGTAAATGAAATGAATTATTTGTTGAAATATTACATATATTTCAAGTGATAGAAATAAATATCGTAAAATTATAATAATTCTGCTTTCTTTTTTCCGATACTTTCTAGACGGTCTTTATATACCGAATATTTTACTAATTAATTACTTTTATTTGTAAATTTATTACGTATCAATAAAAATAACAATTTTCTATAATTTTGTAATAAATATTTCATTAAATAAATATAGAGATCGAATATTTAATGGAAGCTGCAAATAACAAATCAAAATAAAAATATTAAACCTATATGTATACCAAATAAACGAATCATATCTGACTAAATAATATAAAATTATATATATTTTCAACTATATGATATATTATATTAATTTTCGGATGCGTGTTATAGTCTAGTCAGTGGGGGATGTTTCCAGTAAGAAATTTTTGATTATCAAATTTGTAATCCAAGTCAGACTAGGTGAAATGAATGGAAAGCTTGTTATGATTAATTAGGAGCTAGTAAATAATCATGTTACTATAATAAAACAAGATAACAACGCGCATGTTCTTGTGACGTAAGCCTGAGACAAATTGTCAAAATGCCAAATTGACAAAATTAATGACAGCAAGTTAAACTTTAAAATTAGATTTAAATTTTTCATTTGATGCAATTCTAGTTATATAAATAAAAAGAATTAATATTAATAACAGCAGAGAATTAATATATCAATATTATAACAGCAGAGTAAATGTTTCTATGGATAATAATAAATGTTTCTATAGATAATAATATATACTAATGCCCATTTTAATAGAACTTGAAGTAATACTTTTCGATAGGTCTTTAAAAAAAGCTACTTTGGATGTATGTAGTGAACTGGAACATATTTTTCGTAGTTATAATGGCGACACATTAAAAATAACAAAAAATTATTTAAAAAACTTAGAAGCTGTAAAATATGTAAATGTTAGCGAAGATGTAAAATTACTTTTTTTAGAAGTAAAATGTATTTTAAAATACAATATCTAAATCAAAATATTAGAGATAATTATAATACTACAAAAGAAAAATCACAAAGATTGTAAAATAAATGTCTAAATAATATTCATAAGGTCTTAAGTTTTACCCGCTTTTCCTTTATGGTCAAATTCTTTACATTTTGCCAGCCTTTTATATTTAATTTATGTTTTGTAGCAATATTTATTTTGTTTGTAATACACACAATCAAATCGTAGATTCATATATGTCTTTAATTAATTTTACAAATTACTTATTAATTTTCAAAACACGTTTTTACAGAAAGTAACTAATTACTATTAAACTGGGAATAAGCCACAATTAAAGATAAAAATACGTTTATTGACGTTTCAATTTCCACTTCGGAAATCGTTCTCAAAATACAAACAGTAAATTAAACAAAATTTGTTTTTTGTTACATAGTGAAAAATTCTTCTAATAATTTAATTTCATCTGAGTCATTTATATTGACTTATATTTATATATGATATAAAAAAAAGAGGTTAGTCTTCGTAAGTGGGTATATTTATTTAAAAAAAACCCTTAAAAGGGCTACATCAAAAAAACAAACGTTTTCGGAGTAAACAGTCCATCATCAGGTTTAAATTTTAAAATTGCCTAAAATAAGTATAAAGCATTTAGTTAAAACAAACATGGATATGAAATTTTGACTATGGTTAAAAAGCAAAAATGGCTATACTTACTAGGTTAAAATGCCTGAGCCACCAAAATATCTCTTCATTTTGTTCAATTGTTGACTTAGTCAGTTTCCCAATTTCCTTAGGATATTCTCCTGTGCCATTCAGAATAACTTTCTGGATGGTTATTTCTTCCTCCGCTCTCTGTATATAACCAGTATACCTACCTTATCTCCCATTTTTGGTTATAGTGACCATCATTGGTTTTTCAAGCAACAGTTGCAGTTCCTGTTTTCTCCTTAATTTCAAGGAGAAATTCCAATTTTTTCTGAGGATTTTTCTCTTCCACCTTCTGAAACCTTCTGGGGCTTTCGTCTCAGTACAAGTCTTATTCCAGAGATGCAGAGACGTCAACTGCGACGTATACGTATGTCTGGTTGATTTCGAGAAAGCGTTTGATCGAGTACAGCTCGCCAAGATGATGCAAATACTAAAAGAAGCAGGAATTAACTACCAAGATCTGAAATAATTAGAAATCTTTACTGGAATCAGACAGCAAACCTCAGAGTTGAAGATGAATACACTGACTATGTGAAAATCTGAAAATCATGCGAGGAGTAAGGGAAAGTTGTATTTTGTATCTTCTAATCTTCAATCTCTACTCTGAAAGAATATTTATCGACGCTTTGCACGAAACTGAAAAAGATATCCCGTGGACTGACCGAGTCACAAATGATAAGGTTCTCAGAAGAAGGAATAAGAACCTAGAGGTACTGACTACCATCAAATCTCGAAAGTTACAAACCTTTAGACATATTATGCGAAATTAATCCAGATATGCTCTCCTTCAAGCCATCCTGCAAGGCAAAATATTTATAAAACGAGGTCCAGGAAGAAGAAGAACATCTTGGTTAAAGAACCTCAGAATCTGGTTCACTACATCTGTGCAGCCTTTCCGCGCTGCTGCAGATAAGATAATGATTGCCATGATGATCCTACATTTGTAACGGATAGGCACATCAAGAAGAAGAAGGCCTTCTAAACGCCTTTTAATCTTTGCTTGGTTAGTCTAGCTCCATGCCCATTTTTGTACTTACGACTCTAAACTGCTCTACACTAGACTTAAATAGCTATTATCCGCTGTGATTCTAGCTTTAGTCTTCTCCGCCACAGAAAAGATTATTACTCCTTATATATTGACGAATTTAAAACATCAGACAGCTTAGGAGCTAGCCGTGATAGATTCTGATCGTAACACTGATTCACACTGATGATAGCACTGCTTCTTCTTCAAATGCCCTCTCCGCTACGGAGTTTGGCAGTCATCATTGCTATTCCTATCTTTGAAGCTGTTGCTTTAAATAATTGTTGAGATGTGCACTGAAACCAGTCTCTTAAATTGCTATGCCAAGATATACGTCGTCTCTCCACGCTTCTTTGCCCTGAATCTTTCCTTGGATAATTAACTGCAGCAATCGGTACTTTTTTCCTCTCATCACATGACCAAGATATTCCAGCTTTCTTCTCTTGATGGTGATCAACAGCTCCCGTTCTTTGTTCATTCTTCGAAGGACTACACTATTTGTTACTTTGTCTGTCCAAGGTATTTTCAAAATTCTTATATATATCTACATTTCGAAGGCCTCTAGTTTATCGGTATTGCTCTATCGGTATCTTGGATAAAGTCCAAGTCTCTACTCTGTACAGCAGTATTGAAAAGATGTAGCATCTAACCAATCTCATTTTCAGGTTTAAGTTAATGTCATGACTTCCCAGAA